CCGTTTTCTCGGGATCCTTATAGTAACTGGGAGAGAGAAATTGCAGTTGGGAAACTAAAATTCATATAGATAGCTCGCTTAGCTTACCCATGAAACACATTGGAGCCGCGCACGCAGACCTCGCCCGTATTCTGGTTGGCGAAATATTCCATTTCGGGCACATCGACGAGCTTGACGGCGTTGCAGGAGACGGGCGGGCCGACGTGATTGGGCACATGGTCGCCCTGCACGGTGAGCGTTATGGCACCCGTGCACTCCGTTTGGCCATAGCCCTCGAGCACCAAACAGCCGAGGGCGCAGCGCATGAAGGTGAGCACGTTGCCAGCCAGCGGCGCTGAGCCGACGACCATGAGCCGCAGATTGCCGCCAAAGGCCTGGTGCACCTTCTTGAACACAAGCTTGTCCCAGCAGCCGTTGCGGCGCAGCACGCCTCGGGCGATCTCCTTCTCCTTGGCCTTCAGGGCCATGTTGAAGAGGCCGCGCTTCAGGCTCGAGGCGGAGATATCATTCTGTATCTTGTCGTAGACCCGATTCAGCAGGCGCGGCACCGCCGGCATCACCGTGGGCCTCAGCATCTTCAGGTCGTTGGTCAGCTCCTTGATGTCGCCGGAGTAGAAGCCCACACAGCCGCCCACGTAGTACATGCCGTTCTCGCAGCAGCGCTCGAACATGTGCGCCAGCGGCAGRAAGGAGATCATCACGTCTCCGGCCCGTATGCGGTGATCGCCCATTTGCAGGATCACCGCACAGACGCCGGCCACCACGTTKCCGTGGGTGAGCATGACGCCCTTGGGATTGCCGGTGGTGCCCGATGTATAGCAGACGGTGCACAGATCCTCCGCTGTGGGCGGCACCTCCGGATGATTGCCCTTGGCGCCCAGTTTCTCGACATCGATGAACGAGAAGATTTGGACGCCCCGACTGCGCGCACGCTCCAGTGTCGTCTGGCGGATGGGCTTGATGGAGACAATGATCTTCAGGCTACGCGGTGATTTCTCCAGCAGCATCGACGCCTTGGCATCGTCTTCCACAATACAAATGGACATTTCCGTTTGGCGTATGATAAAAGCACAGGCGTCCGGGCCGAGCGTGTCGTACAGTGGAACCACAACCAGGGAGAACGAGTAGCACGCCTGCTCATACAATATCCACTCCGGCCGATTCTGCGAGTAGATCCCGATCAGCTGCTTGGGCCGTGCGCCCAGCGCCAGCATCCCTGAGCCAAAGTTCTTGGCCCGCAGCAGTGCCTCATCATAGTTGATCCACTGCGAGAATAGAGATAGAGATTAGCAAAGCTCAAAGAGAGAGTGAAAGAGAGAGAGAGATAGACTCCACTTACCTGATAAGGCGATGTTAGAGTCTCTCGCCAGCCAAGGCAGGGTCCATTGTTGGAGGCGTAGGCGCCCTCGCGAAACGTCTGATACAACGTTCGAACGTTCTCTGTGATGTAGGAAACAAATTTACCATTCTTCGACTCCTTGTAGAACTTGGAGACGTGTATTTGTTCTGGGCCCTGGAAAGAGTTACGAAACAGAAGAGAAAACAAACACGTGGACATGCAAGATGAGTGAAGGAGTTGAAGAGAAAAGAGATTTACGACGATGACAGAGCGTCTCA